ATAATAAATGATTAGTGTCAGTATTAAATCAATGTTAATACTATCTTTCGTTAAGCAAAATAAATTCATAGCTGGGTGCGGAAGTGTGCCTGTAGTTCCAGCTACTTGGAGGGTCGAGGCTGCGGTGGCCAGGAGCATGCCACTGCACTCCAGCCTGGGCGACAGAGTGAGACTCCAACTCAAAAAAATAAAATAAAAAATAAATTCAAAAACTACATCTCCTCATACAAGAAACCCCATTCCGAACTTCCTTGATTGTGGAAAGATGTTTTAATCTACCTCATAGATTGCTGTGAAGAGTTAGTAAAAATAAAACACCACAAAATTCTGGGGCAAATTCTAGAGTATATGGTATCCTGTGACCAAAAAGCTTGCTCAGTTTCTTTCCCAGACCATTCTTAAAATTCAGTTGTGCTTCAGTCTCCTTACCAGGAGAACTCTATCACGTATGCACAGCCTCTCTGGTCTTGGTTTTCTCTAAGGAGGGTAAGACTGGCATCTACTCTAAAGTCCTTCCAGTACTAGTCACTGACCAAAACGTCGTAAAAGGGTCAAGATTGGCTGGGCACATCGGCTCCCAGAACTTTGAGAGGCCGAGGCAGGAGGATCACTTGAGCCCAGGAGTTCGAGACCAGCCTGGACAAAATAGTAAGACCTCATCTCTATTTAAAAAAGAAAAAAGAAAAGAAAAGGAGAGGATTGCCTGAGCCCTTGGGTTTGAGACCAGCCTCAGCAAATTGGCAAAATCTCATCTCTACAATATATCAAAAAAAATAGCCAGGCATGGTGGCACATGCTATTTGGAAGCTATTTGGAAGGCTGAGGCTGAAGGATAGCCTGAGCCCAGCAGGCTGAGGCTGCGGTGGCCGGGAGCATGCCAGGGCCCTCTAGCCTGGGTCAGAGAGTGAGACTCCAACTCAAAAATAAAAACAAATTAATTAAAAAAGAAAAGAAATCTATATGGAGTCAAGACTGCATTCTTTGGCATAGATGTTAAACTACTTCCTCATCCACTCCATTCCCCTGGATCCCCATGTTTCCTCTCAGGAACGGCATCAAATAATTCACAATTTAAGTTATTTAAAAGACTCATTTTTCAGCCGGGCTCGGTGGCTCAGCCTACAATCCCGTGCCTTTGGGAGGCTGAGGTGAGTGGACTGCCTGAGCCCGCGGGTTCGAGACCTGCCTGGGCAACTTGGCGAGACCTCATCTCTACAATAAATCAAAAATTAGCCAGGCATGGTAGCGCGTGCCTGTAGTTCCCGGCTACTTGGAAGGCTGAGGTGGAAGGAAAAAAAAAAAAGACCCATTTTTCACTCATTTTACACACACACTTAAATTGAACTTATTCATTTGAATTAGACCTTCTGAACGATCCAAATAGTTATTGTAAAATTTAATATGCCTCAAAGAAAAAAAGAAGCAGTCAAAATGGCCAAATGTCAAAAACAGATTTACAAGTACTAACTTCAAAACAAAGTTGGTTTTCTGATTAAGAAAAAAGTATTGGCTATATTTTTGTTTGTTTGTTTGTTTTTGTTTTTGTTTTGAGTTGGAGTCTTACTCTGTCGCCCAGACTGGAGTGCAGTGGCTGCTCCCGGTCACCGCAGCCTCGACCTGCTGGGCTCCGGCGATCCTTCCGCCTCAGCCTTCCAAGTAGCCGGAATTACAGGCGTGCGCTACCACGCCGGGCTGATTTTTTGATTTATTGTAGAGATGAGGTCTCGCCTGCCCAGGCGGGTCTCAAACCTGTGGGCTCAGGCAATCCACTCACCTCAGCCTCTCAAAGGTACGGGATTACAGGCTGAGCCACCGAGCCCGTCTGGCTATATTTTAAATCAGAAAACGGAGTCATAAACACAGCCCCTTTACTAAGAAATAACAATAAATGCAAACTCATTCATGAAAAGCAAAAATATTCAAGTTATAATAACTAGAAGAAACCTGAAATACTAACACACGAAAATGAAATTTTACGCTAAAAAGTTAAAGTGCTCAAATGATCAGATAAAGGCAATTTACACATTTCAGATTTGTCTTGTTTAAAGTAATTTTGGGGCCAGGTATGGTGGCTCATGTCTATTATACTAGCCCTTTGGGAGATGAAGCCAGGAAGGTCACTTGAGGCCAAAAATTCAAGGCCAGCCTGGGCAACAGAGCAAGACACCATTTCTACATGAAAAAAAAATTTTTTTAGTATTAGCATGGTGGTGCGCACCTGTACTCCTAGCAATTCACAAGGCTGAGATGGGAGGATCACTTGAGGTTTGAGGTTGCAGTGAGCTATGATTGCGCCACAACATTCCAGCCTGTACAACAGCTTTAGACCTTGTCTCAATAATGATGATGACGGCGATGATGATGATGGTGGTGATGTTTTCGTGGAGTTTTCGAAAGCTTGCCTAATTTTACCCTTCTGTGAATAGTGTCCCAGTAAAAGAGAACACTCTTATAGTGGTACTTCTAGGCAAGAAATTTGTCTTTATGATGTAACCAAGGCTACCAGATCCAGATAACGTCTGCCTTTAGAATGATTCAGAAATAGTAACTTTAAAACTTCTTTTTAAAAAAAAGGAATGCTTGCACTCACAATTGTTAGTGTTCGTGAATCCGGTTTTTAGGGCTATTGTATTTTTATATAAATACAAATTTTAAAAACTTAATATTCTGAACTTATTTCCAGAGAAAAAAACTGATCCTTTCAGTTCTGGTATCAATGTCAAGATGGCAGCTTCCTAACTGACAGTTACTGTTAATGTTTAATTACAGTTTATGTTTACTGAGTGTTTTGGGGCTTTAAAGTTCATTACAGTTATTATATTATTAATTACAACATGTGCACTGCAATATTCCCTTTTTAAAGAGATGCAAATAGACGTTAAAGAACTTATCTGGCCAGGCTCCCTGGCTCAGCCTGTAATCCCGCAACTTGGGAGGCCGAGGTGAGTGAATTACCTGAGCCCGTGGGTTCGAGACCCGCCTGGGCAACTTGGCGAGACCTCATCTCTACAATAAATAAAAAAAAATTAGCCGGGCGTGGTAGCGCGTGCCTATAATTCCGGCTACTCTGAAGACTGAGGTGGAAGAATCACCGGAACCCAGCAAGTGAAGGCTGCGGTGGCCGTGAGCAGCCATGGCACTCCAGTCTGGGCAACTGAGTGAGACTCCAAATAAAAAAAAAAAAGAACTTATCCAAGATCACCCAACAAGTCAGTAACGAAGTTGGAAGCAGGGGGCTGCGGAAAGGGACGGTGGCGTGCGCTGTTCCGGCGGGGAGGCCCCAGAAGCAGCCGGCTGCCTTCCTCCAGCCGGGTCCATCAGGCTCTGACACGGCCAGGGAGCGGGCCTGCGAGTCCTCGGAAGAGGTGGGGTGGCCGCCTTGTCTGCTTAGATGGCCTCGCCTCCCTGGAGGGTTGGGAGTCTCGCCCTGGGTGAGAGCACAGGGCAGCTGAGAAAGGCAGACCACTCACTACTTCATGCTTTCCCAAGTCCAAAATAAAAAAAAAAAGCCAAGTGATTTACTTTCGTTTTTTAAGATTCAAAAATACAGTTTATTTAGAAAATAAATCAGAGAAAGAGAAAGAGTAGATTCTCCTCCCCAAGGTAGAGGAGGGGGCCAAAGCCTGACCATGGCCTGGCCATAACTCAAAGAGCGCATGGCCACATCATTGCTTAGGAAGGCAATGGCCCATGATTTACTTTCAATAACTTCTAACAGCATGCCGAAACAAAGTATCATAAACACTAATTTAAAAGATTCACCTTGAATGAAAGAACTTGCTACATTTAGATACCACTGTCACTTGCCTATTTCTTGTAACCAAGCAAAAACACTGTACTGGAATTGGATATATTAAATCCTGGGCAATGTTCACCTTTCCATATGTACAATTTATTTTCATACTATCCCGTACAAATTAATCTTTATAGAATCAGTTTATCACCTTGTCGCATTCCGAGGTCCTGTGGGGTGCATTATTTTCCTCACTTTCCAAGGAGTCAAGTCATAGAACACAAACTCAAAAATAAGCAGTTCTCAGTGAGAACATAGTTACATAGCCAATGAAAGAAAGGCTCTAATAAATCGTGCTTTTAAAGAGATAATTTCAAAGGATGATTACATGCTAAACAGAATTACTGTTAAGTCGCCCGCCAAGAAGGATGAGTCCTTTAAAGTAGCTTTTAAGGCACATCCCTCCCTGTTTGGGACACAGCCTGACTTGTTGGACAAGATTACTCTGGGCACGCTCACAGAGAATCCCTCGGAACCAGCCTAGTTCACTGAAACATCATCTCAACCTCCCAACTGTAGCACTCAGCCCTTCCCTTACTCCAAGGGGCAGGCTGACCCTCCTTAACAGTCTTCCAGGAGAAGGTTCCCTCCGCGGAGACACTGACAAAGCCGTCCTGCCGCGGATGTTTTGGAAACAGAAAGTGTTAACACCAGGAGAGGAGGCTCCCAGGAAGTGTCAGTGCGGCAGCAGGTGGAGTAGCCCTGCGTGCCGAGCAGGTTCTTTCCGACCTAGTCTCGGTCCTCTGCTCCCCAGACTTGGTCCCGCCTGACAGACCTTTCTCGGCCGCCCTGCGCCCCTGTGCTCTCACCCAGGGCGAGGCTCCCAACCCTCCAGGGAGGCGAGGCGATCTAAGCAGGCAAGGCGGCCACCCCACCTCTTCCGGGGACTCGCAGGCCCGCTGCCTGGCCGTGTCAGAGCCTGATGGACCCGGCTGGAGGAAGGCAGCCGGCTGCTTCTGGGGCCTCCCCGCCGGAACCCCGCACGCCACGGTCGCTTTCCACGGCCCCCAGCCCTGGGAAGCGCCACCGCCACCACCCTCCTCACTCCTGAATCCCCTCTCCCAGGAGTACCCCAGTGGAGTTGCCGGCCCACTCAAAAGTACGAGCGACGGCCACCCCTGTCGGTCACCCTGGCCCCGCTGTCACCGCCCTGCTCCCGGCCTCTGCCCACGCCGCTGGCGGGCGCCGGAGACGCCCGGGTCGGTACCTTGCGGACCCCCTTGTAGATATAGAAGTAGAGCTCCCGGCCCACATTGAAGCAGAGGCGGTCGCCGTTGCCAGACTGGTCGTTGAGGTTTACGAAGGAGACGCGGACAGGGTTGGATCCCTGCGAGTTGAAGGGCACCCGGTTGGGCCGGCTGTACTCCGAGTGCGGCAGCAGCTTGTACAGACCTTCCCGGGTGGTGAATTGGGTCTTAATCTCGTTCATCTCCTTCCCTCCTCCCTCCGCCGCCATCTTGGAAAGCAGCGTTCATCCTGCCCTAAGTGCCCGGATCACGCCCACCGCGCAGGCGCCGTTCCTGCCTGCTCGCTCTCCCCCCGCCTCTTCCCCCTAGCCCCTCCCAGCCGCGAGCCGGCCCCGCAAGGCGGGCCGAAGGGAAGGGGCGGGCTTGTTTACGGCCCGACTGCGCAGGCGTGCTCACCTGGCGCGCTCCACGCGGCGGGCCGTCCGCAGACTCCTCCCCCTGGGCGCGGCCTCTGGGCTGCACCGCCGCTGCCCAGGTGATGCCGGCTGGGGCTTGGGGGCGGGCAGGCGGGCAGGCGGGCAGGCGGGCGGTCCCGCAGCTGCCAGAGCCAGGGGAGAGCCGGCGAGGAGGAGCTGCGGCGGGGCTGGGGTCGACGAGGTGAACTTGGGGAGGCGCCTTGGGGAGCGGGACTGTTCCGCCGGGAGGGCTGAGGACCCGCGCGACCTTCTGGATGCCCCCCCGGCGCCTCCTTGGGGTTCCCGAGAAGGTACCGCCGGACTCACGCTCACTCTCGTTTTTTTTTCTTTAGGCGGGGTGGGGGAGAGAAGAGTGTGGCATGTGCTGACGAGTCAGATGTCTTAATGCCCATCCTTAGTGAGCATCGGCTACTTTTAAGGAAAGTAGGTTGTGCCGGCGCTTGTGTGTCCTGTCTTCGTCCTCACCAGGTGTTTAGGGAAAGGGGGCGGGGCCGGGGAACCGCTTTGGGAACCCGGGACCGAATCTACGCAGGATTCACTTCTCTTGCTCAGTGGCTTATTAAGAGCTCTTAACAAAATTAGAGGTGAGTGATTTAATTTTTTTTTTTTAAAGGCTCAAATGGAATCTGCGAAATTGTTTACTAGGCACGGTGGTATGCATATAATGTACAGGGTCTAGATACGTACGCACAGGCACACGTGTTAAACAGAGATTTACTTTACCGTTACAATCACCGTTTTATACCCGGATTTCTTGGCATGTTGCACTAGAACGAGAACGTTTCTAAAGTGACAGAAACGTTCAGATAGCATTCCAGGAGGGGCAAAAGCCAATACTATTCCTGAAAGTTCAAATCCTATCTGAAGGGTCACCGAAGAAGAGGAGGGAGGTAAGTTCTAAAGTAGGAGGAGCCTAAATCATAAACATCTTCTGTATAACAGAGGAAGTACAGACCAGTAGAAACTGAGCCAATGACGTAATAATGCATTTGACACTAACATTTATAGTTTTTATACATATTGGCAAAACACAAAATTCTACTTAATAGATACCTAAAATACTTTTAAAGTGTTTGTTACAAATGTTTTAATGTTATCTGCTTTTCCCTAAAAGTTAAATAGAAATCAGTGCTCTTTAAATACCAGGAAATGTTCTCTGGTTACCTTGGAGTTATCCTAATCTCCTATAACTGTGTTATTTTACATCGAAAATACATATTTAAAATGATTATCTTGAGGGATAGTGACATCCTGAATCATCTAATAATAATTTATCTGTGTTTTCTAGTTAAGGGGGGAAGTATAATACTATTATTTCTGAGGGGGAAAAACCCTTAGCAAGCAAAATTAAAATTTTCGTCGAAAACCCTTAGCAAGCAAAATTAAAATTTTCGTCGGGTGCAGTGGCTCACGCCCATAATTCCAGCCCTTTGGGAGGCCAAGGTGGGAGAACTGCTTGAGCCCAGGAGTTTGAGCCTAGCCTGAGTAACATAGCAAGACTTCATCTCTATTTAAGAAAAAAATTTTAAAAGTATTAGTCCTCAATTAACCACAACATTCTATTTCCCATAATACCTATGTAACTTAAGTATTCTGTCAAGGTTTTGTCCTATATAAATTCACCATTTTTTATTATAGTCATAGTGATAAAAGTCTGCTCACTTTGTCTCTGTTTTTAGTACTTTTGTAGTTCATTTTCCCTACACTCAAGGATTCAGTAAGTATCACCCGAATCTATATAACTGGGCCTCACCTGAAGTTTATTTCTGATTTTCAGTTTCTAACCAGGTATTTCTAAACAAGTTCATGCCTCAAATTCATCAGTTTCTAAACTTTGTCAGTTTCCTTTTTATTTCAAACTTGAATCATTATAATGGCTTCATGAATTAATTCCTTAATGCCACTTTGTCTCTCAACTGTCCTTCTATAAACAACTACCAGATTGATTTTCTTTTTATTCTTTTTTTTGAGTCAGTCTCACTCTGTTGCCCAGGCTGGAGTGCAGTGGCATGCTCACAGCCACCACAGCCTCCACCTGCCGGGCTCAGATGATCCTTCTGCTTCAGCCTTCCAAGTAACTGGAACTACAGGCGTGTACCACCACGCCCAGCTAATTTTTCTTGATTTATGTGGAGATGAGGTCTCACCAAGTTGCCCAGGTTGTTTTCAAATCCCTGGGCTCAGGCAATCCTCTTGCCTCCCAAAATGCTGGGATTACAGGCGTAAGCCACCATGCCCAGCCAAATTGATTTTCTTAAAGCAGTGCTTTAGACGTTATATTCTCTTGCCCCAAAACTTTCAATTGCTTGCAATATCCACATTATTTAAGTCATACACCAACAATTCTCAGCCTGTCCTTACCTATTGCTTAAATCCTCCATCCCAAGCAGTTCTGCTGTTATCCTTAACTATTTCCCTTGCTTGAAAGGACTGTGCCAGGCTGGGCTCGGTGGCTCAGCTTGTAATCCCAGCACATTGGGAGGCTGAGGCGAGTGGATCACCTGAGCCCGCGGGTTCGAGACCCACCCGGGCAACTTAGCAAGTCCTCATCTCTACAATAAATCAAAACTTAGCCGGGCATGGTAGCGCATGCCTGTAGTTCCAGCTACTTCTAAGGCTGAGGCAGAAGGATCACTGGAGCCCAGCAGGTCGAGGCTGCAGTGGCCAGGAGCATGCCACTGCACTCCAGCCTGGGTGACAGAGGGAGACTCCAACTTGAAAAAAAAGAAAAGAAAAGACTGAGCCTTTCCTTTCTCCTTCAGAGCCTGTTCTTTAAGACCTAGTTCAATTCCATCTTCACCAAGCCTGTCCCAAGTCCTGGGTGATAAAACTGTACTTGAGACCAAGGACTCTCAACTCAGGAACGAGCTGACTTTAGAGACTACTTGATTCCCCTGTAATTGTATTCAGAAATTTTTGTATATTCGTTATATCATCAGAGTCTTTAGCTTTCATCAGATTTTTAAAGAGGTATAACCACATTCCCCAAAAAGTTAGAAATCACTTCTCTAAAATTCTGAGCTTTCATTTGTCATTCATAACATCTTAAATTTATCAGAATATGCTAATTATCTTGTATTGATATTTATCTTTTAATGCATACATATTTGCTGCCTTTTAACCAGACTGTATGTACACTCAAGCATAGGAGTGACCTTGTGAAAAATCTTTGTATTCCCAAATTTTTATTTGAGGTCCTCCTACATGTGCCACACTGTTCTAGCCTTTGAGATACATAAGAAAATAAAAATCCCTTGTTCGTGGAGTTTATATTCTTGCAGGGAGAAGACAGAATAAGCAATAATAGATAAACACGATAAAAGTGTTTAAACACAAGAGATAAACACAAACAAGTAGATTGTACAGATAAGTGCTAGGAAAAAGTAGATCAGGGAATGTAGGACTCAGAGTATGTTGGTCAGTTTGCACTTTCAATATGGCGATCAAGATAAGCCTTTCTGAGAAGGTGATGTTTCAGCAAAGACTTAAAGGGGTGGGCCATGGGAAGAACTGGAGACCAGGCAGAGGTCCCCAAGGCAGTAGTGTGCCAACGATGTTCAAAGAAAAGAAGAGTAAGAAGGCTAGTGTGGCTGGTGCAGAGTGAGCAGAGAAATCATTGCAGGACTTAAGAATCCATTTGTTTGCTGGTTTGAAAACATACTAAGGGCCAAGCCCGGGGGCTCACACCTGTAATCCCAGCACTTTAGGAGGCTGAGATGAGAGGATTGCCTGAGCCCGTGGGTTCGAGACCAGCCTGAGCAACTTGGTGAGACCTTGTCTCTACAATAAATCACAAAAACTACCCAGACGTGGTGGTGTGCGTCTGTAGATCCAGCTACTTGGAAGGCTGAGGTGGAAGGATCGCCTGAGCCCAGCAGGTCAAGGCTGCAGTGACTGTGAGCATGCCATTGCACTCCAGCCAGGGTACCAGAGTTAGACTCCAACTCAAAAAAAAAAGAATCCATTTGTTTGCTTGTTTGAAAACAGACTAAGGGTCCAGCATGGGGGCCCATGCCTGTAATCCCAGCACTTTGGGAGGTGGAGACAAGAGGATTGCCTGAGTCTAGGGGTTCAAGACCAGCCTGGGCAACATGGCAAGACCTCTTCTCTACAATAATAAATTTTAAAAATTGGTTGGGCTCAGTGGCTCACACCTATAATCCCAGCATTTTGGGAGGCTGAGGTGAGAGGATTGCCTGAGCCCACAGGTTGGAGACCAGCCTGGGCAACTTGGCAAGACCTCATCTCTACAATAAATCAAAAAATTAGCTGAGCATGGTGGCATGTGCCTGTAGTTCCAGCTACTTGGAAAGCTGAGGCAGAAGGATCGCCTGAGCCCAGCAGGTCATGACTGTGGTGACCATGCGTGTGCCATTGCACTCCAGCCTGGGCAACAGAGTGAGACTCCAACTAAAAAAAGAAAAAAAATAGCCAGGCGTGGTGGCGCATGCCTGTATTTCCATACTTGGAAAACTAAGGCAGAAGGATCACCTGAGCCCAGCAGGTCGAGGCTGTAGTGACCATGAGCATGCCACTGCACTTCAGCCTGGGTGGCTCCGAATCAAAAAAAAAAACAAAAACAAAAACAAAGAATAGACTCAGGGAAGCAAGAGTAGAAGGAGGAGGTCACTTAAGAGGCTAACTATAGGTGCCAGAGGCTTGGACCAGAGAGGGCTTCAACCTAGATAAAGAGAAGCTATGGAATCCTACGTAGACTCTGAAAGGAAAGCCAACAGGATTTCCCAGCACTTGGGATGTGACTTGGGGGAGAATGGAGGAGTCAAGAATGACTCCAGTGTAGACATAAGCAGCTGGAGGATGCAAGTGCCATTAGCTGAGATGAGAAAGTCTGGGGGAAGCAAATTTTGAAAGGAAGATCAGGAGTTC